AGTCCCAGCTACTCAGGAGCCTGAGGCAAGAGAATCACTTGAACTCAGGAGGTAGAGGCTGCAGTGAGCTGAGATTGTGCCACTGCACTCCAGCCTGGGTGACAGAGAGACCCTGTCTCAAAACAAACAAACAAAATATATTTATACTTATAAACAATACAGAAGTGCTGTTCTGTGGGAGAAAGGGAGACAGTATTGCTCCCAGGATAACTGCATGAACAGCTGGGATGAGGCTGGAGCCATATATAGACATTAGCAAAACAGGATAGACAATGAGTTGATGGAAGAAAAATTGAGATTGATTTTAGAGTGTTTATGGAACATACTGACGGAGATGTCCAGCTGGAGCTCGAGAGAGAAGGCTAGCAGAGGTCAAGGTTTGGGGAGGGTAAGATCATTTCAGTACCAGCTGAAACCACCAGAATAAATTGGATAGCTAAGAAAGAGCACAGTTTGAGAGAAGCACCAAGTACAGAGTTTGAGGGAGCACCAATATGCTATGAAGGTTGCAGAGTAAATTCTTGATATGGTTTGGATCTGCGTCTTCACCCAAATCTCATGTTGAATTGTAATCCCCAATGTTGGAGGTGGGGCCTGGTGGGAGGGGATTGGATTATGGGGGTAGTTTCTCATGGTTTAACACCATCCTCCCTTGGTGCTGTCATCGCCATAGTGAGTTCTCATGAGATCTGGTTGTTTAAAAGTGTGTGGCACCTGTGCCCCAATTCCTCCCGCTCTGGCCATGTAAGATGTGCCTGCTGTCTGGGCACAGTGGCTCATGCCTGTAATCCCAGCACTTTGGGAGGCTGAAGCAGGCGGATAGCTTGAACCCAGGAATTTGAGCAGACTGGGCAACATGGCGAAATCCTGTCTCTACAAACAAACAAAAATTAGCTGGGCATTGTGGTGCATGCCTATAATCCCAGCTACTTGGGGGACTGAGGCAGGAGGATCACTTGAGCCCAGGAGGTCAAGGCTGCAGTGAGCCAAGATGACACCACTGCACTCCAGCCTGTGTGACAGAGCGAGATCCTATCTTACACACACACACACACACGTGCGCACACGCACACACACACACACAAAGATATGCTGCCGGGCATGGTGGCTCACGCCTATAATCCCAGCACTTTGGAAGACTGAGGTGGGTGGATCACCTGAGGTCAGGAGTTTGAGACCAGCCTGGCTAACATGGTGAAACCCCATTTCTACTATAAATACAAAAATTAGCGGGGCGTGGTGGTGCACACCTGTAATCCCAGCAATCCCAGCTACTCAGGAGGCTGAGGCAGGAGAATCGCGAATCACTTGAACCCAGGAGGCGGAGGTTGCAATGAGCTGAGATCATGCCCTTGCACTCTAGCCTGGGTGACAAGAGTGAAACTCCGTTTAAAAAAAAAAAAAAAGTTATTTCTTCCTCTTTGCCTTCTGCTATGGATTGGAAGTTTCCTGAGGCCTCCCCAGAAGCCATTATGCTTTTTGTAGAGCCTGCAGAACCATGAGCCAATTAAATCTCTTTTCTTTATAAATTACCCAGTATCAGGTATTTCTTTATAGCAATGCAAGAACAGACTAATACAATTATTAGATGGTAGAAATAGAACCAGGAAAGTGTGGGGTCTTGGAAGGTAGGAGGGGAGACAGTTTCAAGTAACAGTGCCATTTCCAGTTTAAAGTGATAGGTAAGAAATGAGCCAGGTATGGTGGTGCAGGCCTGTAATCCCAGCTACTCAGGAGGCTGAGGCAGGAGAATTTCTTGAACTCGGGAGGTGGAGGCTGCAGTGAGCCAAGTTCCATCTCAAAAAAAAAAAAAAAAAAAAAAAGAGAAAAAAAGAAAAGAAATGGAAGATATATTACTATATACCCCCAACGACATTAAAATGAGAATAAGAGAATGCCACGAACATCTTTATTCACATAAATTCACCAACTTAGATGAAATGGACCAATTCCATGAAATATATAAAACACCAAAACTTACCCAAAGAGAAACTGACAACTGAATGGAATATCAATTAAAGAAACTGAATTTGTGGTTTAAAACCTTCCAAAAAAGAAATTCCCAGGCCTTGATAGTTTCACTAGTAAATTCTACCAAATATTTAAGGAATACATCAGTTCTATACAATCCTTCCTCTTCCATTTTCTAGACAAGGACACTTCTCATTTTATGAGGCCATCATTATCCTGATTACAACATCAGACAAAGACATGACAAGAAAAGAAAATTGCAGTCCAATATCCCTTATAAACATAGAAGTAAAAAGCCTCAACAAATATTAGCAAACCAAATCCAGCAACATATGTAAACACATAGCATGATCAGTTGGTGTTTATCCAGAGTATGCAAGGTTGGCTGAACATTTTTAAATCAATCAATATAATCCACCATGTTAAGAAACTAAAACAGAAAAACCACACAATCATCAATTGATACAGAAAAGTCATTTGACAAAATTCAACATTGATTCCTGACAAAAATTCTCATCAAAGTAGGAATAGAAGGAAACTTCTTTGACCTGCTAAAGATCATCTACCAAAAACCTACAGCTGACATCATACGTAATGAAAAAGACTGAATGCTTTCCCTAGAAGATCAGGAAAAAGGCGAGAGACGTCCACTTTTACGAATCCTATTTGAAATCAAAATCCTACTCAAAGTCCTACTTTAGTGAAATCAGGCAAGAAAAAGGAAATAAAAGGCATATAACTGGTTGGAAAGAATAAATAAAACTGTCTCTGTTCTCACACAATATGATTGTCTATGTAGAAAATCCCAAGGAATCTACAAAGAAGCTCTTAACAAGACTGCAGGACACAAAGTCAACTCATCGAAGTCAATCATGTTTCGGCTGGGCATAGTGGCTCACACCTGTAATCCCAGCACTTTGGGGAGCCCAGGCAGGCATATCACCTGAGGTCAGGAGTTCAAGACCAGCCTAGCCAACATGACGAAACCCTGTCTCTACTAAAAATTTTAAAACTTAGCCAGGTGTAGTGGTGCGTGCCTGTAATCCCAGCTACTCAGGAGGCTGAGGCAGGAGAATCGCTTCAACTGCGGAGGTCAAAGTTGCATTGAGCCAAGATCGTGCCACTATACTCCAGCCTGGGTGACAGAGTGAGACTCTGTCTCAAAAAAAAAAAAAAAAAAAGAGAGAGAGAGAGTGAGAAAGAAATACAGTAAATGTAATATATACACACAGTAATTACAACATAAAATAAAATGAGAGAACTGAGACCAAGCTTAACAGTAATGTGAATAAATACAAATGGGCTTAATTCACTTATTACAAGAAAAAGGGGGGCAAATGTGGTGGCTCACACCTATAATCCTAGCACTTTGGGAGGCTGAGGCGGTAGGACTGCTTGAAGCCAGGAGTTCAAGACCAGCCTGGCCAACATAGGAAGACACTATCTTTATTTATTTAAAATAATAATAATAATATTTTTAATAAAATATTAAAGCTAAGCTACAAGGACACAAAGGCATAAGAATGATACAATGGACTTTGGGGACTGAGAAGAAAGGGTGGGAGGTGGGTGAGGGACAAAAGACTACACATTGGGTATATAGCTTGGGTGATGGGTGCACCAAAATCTCAGAAATCACCACTATAGGACTTATTCATGTAACCAAACACCAACCATTCCCCAAAACCTACTGAAATAAAAAAGAAACTGAAAAATAAAAATGA